TTTTTTTTAATTACTGTTGTACATCAAAACGTGGATTCCTAATTTTTGATAACTACAATTTATCAAATATTACCATACTGCGATAACGATTGCAATGAACGACTACCTGGATTATGGTGCGGAAAGAAGTGGTATACGCATTGACACCACACATACACTAATAATCATTTACAACTAACACAGACCTCGGGTGGCGACGATGTGATTAGAAATTGCCTAAATGTTGCTCCTTAAATAAATGCTATAGCAAGGCCCCTTAAAATCAATCTACCGATAATCAAATGTTGATACCTTTGGAAATGGCTGAAATTGTATCATCTAACCTAACCTAACCTAACACCTTTATAAACTTATATAACTTGTTAAACATGCATAGGCGGCACTTGGGGATGATTCAAGGGGGGGGGGGCTTCAGCCCCCACATACATTTTTCAATCACTGCCTCTCAGAAGCTTTTATTCCACCCTTTACCTTCTATAAGAAATGTGCCTATTGGAAGGCAAGTAAAATTTAAAAATTAATAATAAAACAATAATTCGCTTGATTTTTTCGTTAACTTTTTTTTGGGAGGGGGTGGCAAAAGTATACATTTGCCACCCCAAAAAAATGTTTGGGAGGCAACTTCCCTCTTATGACCCTCCCTAAGTGCCGCCTATGTGAACATGTGAAAGAGCATTCTCTGCTGTGTGGTATGAGAACAGTTGGCTACGTTCAACAATATTTTTCAAATTTAACATTATCATAGCATAGAATATAAAGAAATTTAACCCATATCTTAAACAGTGACACCGTCTTAGAACATTTCTTAGCTAACAATAAGAATAAAATGTTAGATCTTAATCTGTAAATTGTAATCTAGGTATGTCATATTTTATGTACAATATTATATAATTTATTAATAATTTAGTGTATAGTAAAATGTTATGCTTGTTTTTATCTGAAGTAATTATTTTGTGATGAATGGGGCTGTGGGGGAATAGGGGAGAAGCCTCCATGCTTATATTGACTAAACTTATTTGTGGGGTTTCAACTCCTCTTACAATTCAGACCTAGTAGCGCCAATGAATCCTGTGTTTATTTATTTTATATATTATTGGTTTTTTGTACATCTTTTATGAAGTTATCTTCTTACTTATGCTTCAATGATCTTACAGTCATTGGTTCATAATTATTCGCAAATAATCTCTGTGCTTGATTCGGCAGCGAGTAATATAACTTTTTTAGTTCTATAAATTAAGAACATTATGTAAACAAAATAAATTTATATTCTAAAAACGCAGTATTATTATAATTAATAGCTGATAAGTTATAAACATAGACCTTATACTCATAGTATAATGAGTAGTATAATCAGGGCCGTGTTAAGGGGGGGGTCAAAGGGAGCAATTGCCCCCGGACGCCGTAGTTTTTTAAAAGTAAGGGGCGCGCCCTTATTTACACTCAATATATTACCTGTTCCCAGTGGCCCTGTAGAAAAAATTTTACCCTGGGGCGCTAAAATGTTTGACACGGCTCTGAGTATAATACTCATAAATATAAGGTTTATGGTTATAACCATTATAGTTGAAACTTAAGATAAATAAATAATAATAATTTCAATTATTATTATATGCTATTATTTATTTTCCAAAAACTAGGATTTTTTTTTACTTTATTTTTCCGAAAATTTTATTATAATTATCGCAATAATTAATCACAATATTCAAACGAATCTTGAAATTAATAAACATAAGCTTAATATAAAATGTATACATATAATTTATAACCACGGATATATAATATATTAAACGTTTAGTATAGGTTTCTGTGTTTATAACCACCTTGTTTATAACTTATAATACAATCATAAATCATATATTATAAAACTTAATAGTTGAATCTATGGACTACACCAATAGAGTTTCTCTGATAGTTTACACTAGTGTATCCCAGACTTTTACGACAACAGAATCCTTAGGCAATAGTTTGAGTTTTGTTGAACTTCAATGTTTCAAACTCAAATTTACCCAATTTTTCAATTATTTATTGAAAAACAAATACTCCAAATAATGTTTTAAAAACAGCTCATGATTTTTGTGTCCTACTCTACTACTTTCAATATACCAACTACTCTATTCACATGCATATCTTACGAAACTCTTGAGATTATCCCACGGAACACACTTTGGGAATCACTGGTCTACACGACTACATATACAAGATTTGTAAGATAGGCCAGTACCATAGCTAGATATTAGTTAGTCTTTTGTATAACGCCTATGGATATAAAACGTATATTTAGGAAGATTATACAATATAACATTTTGTACAGAATTAAAACTTCTTATTTTTTGGTTTTTTGTGTGGTATTATGGAAAAAAAAAATTGATTTAACAAGTGAGGCTTTAATTAATTTTAATACATTTACTTTATTGCTTCCTATTGGACATTGACTATATACAACAATGTGGATATATTTTTTATTGTCTATGAGTGATAAATAATTTTCAATCATTTTTTTACGAACGATTATTTAAATTTAACATAGGTAATAAGTAGAGCCCGGATTTAAATGTATTTCCTTGTTTGTACTAAGTGTATGCACGTCTATAGAGGTTTAAAATGTTCACGATTCATATCGCACCGAATTTAATACCTAATTTTATATTGCATATTTTGCATATTTCAAGGGTTATTGCATATTTGTTCATAAATGCATATAAAATGTATATTTAATGGGTTTTTTGGGTTTTTTAATAATTTAACTATTTTAATTTACAGTTAATTTTGTAATCGCCTCGAATAGAGCACAAATAGACTTTATAGGTATTAAGTTTCAAAAATAGTATTTTAAAAGATTTGTAGGTGTAATTTTCTATTAGTTTTTTTGAGAGTAGGTAACTTCAAATGATTTAAAATATTTATTTTTATTTTTTTTTATTTGTACTATCGTTTTTAAGTTTCATAAAAGTTTTAGATTGATTTAAATGATTTGAAATATATATATATCGCCATTTTTTTTTTTGCATATTTGCATCATATTTGACACTTTTTAAATGCATATAAATCCGGGCTCTAGAAATAAGTAATAATGAATAAGTACCTATTAACTCTAATTTCACTATAAATGGTTTTGAGAGTATTAGTTTCAGAGTTGATTTTTATTATAATTGTTTGAGCATCATAACCAAATATCGTATAAAAGAATAATGCTTAACGATAACATGCAAAATTTCAATATATCTTCAATATGTATTCGTAATAACATTTTGTAATTGTAATGTAATATAAAAGTAGAAATGGCTGAAAATATTTTAACATTATTAAAATTTAAAAACAACTAATTTTTCTTTTAAGGTCTATAGGTCAATCAAGACAATCGTTACACATCCAACCTTTAAATCTTCTCCATTAGTGCTCTTCATTTCGATCCTCCATCTAACTATTTCAGGTTTCTATTAAAAATCCTCCAAAGATGATTCTCTCCAACTCGTTACTTACCTTGTTCTCATCTGCCCCATTTCTCCGTTGTTTATTGGTCCAAAAATCTTCCTTCTTTAAGTTTTTTTTTTGTTTAAAAAGAGCATCAATTTACTTCCCTTACATTAAAATATATTTAACTTAAACCTATATCGCCAAATAGTCAAAATAGTGAGAATTACTGTTTGTTAGATAATCGACGAATTTAAAATCGTAGGACCAAAAAATGGATCAGTAAAGTTAAAAAAATGCAAAAGTTGCGTGGGATATGGGTTGTAGACGTGTATAATAATAATTACCATCGAGCTACACAGTAGCATATACAAGGGTAGATGTGGGGCTCAAATCCTCCCCTAGAACTTTTTTTTAAATGTTATAAAATAATGTTATTAGTGTGAGGACGTAAGAAACGTAAAAAAAAATAATGATAAAATTAATGATTTGTTTGCAAATGATTCCCCCTAATACAAAAGTTATGAATACGCCACTGGAATTACACTAAAATAAATAATGAATTGCAAAAATTACTTAACATCAATAATATAAGCAAATAGATTGTCACCAGTACGCAGTGGCGTAATTGGGGGGGTCGCATTTGCGACCCCAAATATAATGTATGGGTTGCAAAAGTATTATTATGCAATCCCTGAAAATTCCATATTTATGGTTTATTGCTAAATAGTAAAAAATGAAAATAAGGAATTATTTAATTAAATAATTAAGAAATAAAAAAAGCTGGAGAATGAGAAAATTGAGATGATAATAACATCGAGAATAATACGACGACAGAACTCTAAATTTAAAAATAAATTATAAGATATTAGCTATAATATCGGTTGTAGTTATATTATAATTATAAAAGATTATGTGATTTAAAATTTAAATTTCAGTATTGTTTGTGGCTATATATTAATTATAAAAAATTTAAATTTATAGTTGTATATTATAGTTGTAAATTTATATATAACTTGTATTTATATATAAGAAGAATTATATAGAATTATGATGTACTTTATACAGTCAACTCGCGAATTAACGAACTTCAAGGGACCGATCAAAAAGTTCGTTACATCGAAATTCATTATATCAAAAGCATAAATCAACAAAATCTGTTTAAACGATATTTATAAGAAAATTTAAATTTTATTAGATTTTTATAATTACATACCTACATACAATATGAGATTATTATTAAATATTTTATTAGATACATTCATACATTTTTTGTTTATTACATACATACATATTTATTTTTTAAAAAAATAGGATTTTTTTTGTGTGTATCCATTTGCGCTTACGCGATTAATAGTGTTGTTCAAATTTAGAATATTACAAAATACACTGTCGTCAATATCATGTCTTTGTAAAAAACTTAAGACCGCACGGAGACCTAATTTTGCTTCATTCGAGCTTACGGGGGGGCTCTTCGTCATCAGCTTTATTCAAAATTTTTATTTATATTTAATACAATTTACATTTAACAGACGTGTATCATATAAACGATAGATGAACATTATCTTATCGCATAAGAATGGCCGAAACAAACTCGTAAAATGTGCTGTATCAATCTCCAAAATTGTAAAAATTTGTTACATTGCGTGAACTTTAGCCAAAAAATCTTCGTTATATCGAGGGGACCAAAATACATTTGATTTTTCGTTATAGCACGAGGTTTTCAAGGGTCCGACAGTTTTATACGTTATATCGAGATTTTCGTTTTATCGAACTTCGTTATACCGCGAGTTGACTGTATTAATAGAATATAATAATATGATTATATTAAAACATTGTTTTATAATGTTGGTGCATCCTGAGAAACTTTTGCCACCCCTGATATTTTTTTCGAATTACGCCATTGCCAGTACGTGTGTATCCATCATATGTTATATACAGCTGCTCCGGATCCGGTGTTGTTCAACGTAGACTTGGTGGCGTTGTACGATAGAATGTTGGACGCGGATTGCGACGAAGACTGCGATTTGGATTGCGTGGCAACCGTGACGGAGACTGAACGATGGGAGGCGTACGACAAGTTCCGCGACGTGGTCGAAGCACGGGTCGCACACAACTTGTACCTATGCAAGTGCATTGAACTGAAGCAGCGGACGGTGGACGTGGAAGACAACATCATCGAGGAGACCACGGAGTTCTGGCTGGACGACAAAATGAAAGTGAAAGTATGTAAGACGTTTTTCACTCGCACCCTGGGCCTGCCGGATGCGCGGTTGAACGCGCTGCTCGAGCCCGATACCTTCGAGTGGTTCTCCCGGTATAAGCACCTCTTGATTGATCACACGGTTACCGTTATGGCAGTGACAGCCGTTGACAATCATGATAGAGACGTGGACGAAGAGAGAACGAAGCGTTACTGCGGTATCGAACAACCCTGTTCCGAGTTTGTGCTGAATTCCAGGTGAGTCATATTATTACTACCGATTGTTGTGCATGCCCCTATAGTACCTATAAAATATGATTTTTTTTATTTGGATTCAAAATTTCTTGTCATATTATTTTTAGTATACAAAATACTGAAAATGTTATGAAAAATAAATTAATTTATACGAGAAAAGCTCCGGTGTTAATGGGTTAACCAATGATCAAGAGTTTTTTTTTCATTAATTGGTGTCTTGGGTGCTTCCTTACTCGTTGCTTCTCGGCAACATATGTTACGTTACATTTTAGGAACATACATTCAATTAAATTCATTAATCACTTTAATCGATAATATAATAAATAAAAAATTATTTAATAAATAATAATATTTTTTATTTTTTTTCATTTTTTGTATTATTTAATAAATTATTTATATATAATATAAATGGGACGAATTTAGTTTAGCTCCCAAGCTATTTTTAGAAACAATATTCGTACAACCGTATGCGTATCATTTCACTGTACCATATATTAAACCGGACTTACACGATGACAGTTTTTTTATGAAAATTTTAAATTGTATGACATAATATGTATAATATATTATATGGCACGAACACTAGTGATATAAATGTTGCTACACTTGATGTAATGACACACAAACATATTTAAAATAATCCAGACATTTATAGAATTGTAGCAACAGAAATATCTTGATTGTTCACACGATAAATTAAAATATTTCTGAATACAAACGACAGCCTAACAACTAAAGCTAAAAAACTAAGCTGAACAACTAGTTTTATAGTGCGCAGTTGTACTTAATTACTAAAATTATGGTGTCTTATATTTTGTATTTTGTATTCATCAATATAAACTATGGTATCGAAGCATAAACCAATTGTTATAGAAAATTAGAGTAAAAAAACAAAAAAGGTGAGAAGTGAGTGGGAACGCTAATGGCTTCAAAAAAAGAAATTTTATGGTGCATATAGTGAAGTGTTTTATTCCTCACCAAATTATCCTTATATTTTGAATGTTTTGGATTCTAAAGATAAGAATAATTTTATATCTTTCGAAGTTTGAGGGGATATCCATAAAATCCCATTTTTTTTAACCTTGATGACATAATTGATGTTTTAATTTTAAAGCTTATAAAAATAAAATAATTTTAAAAATACTAGAAACCAAACACCAAACTGTAACTCTCATTGTTTTGATTCCTCAAAACAGCAAAGAGTCTATTAATCACACTGTTGACACTTGTTTTGGACATGTTCAGATCGGCACAAGAATTTTTACAAGACTTATGATGTGAAAATTAGAAAAGTGTACGACATAAATGTAAATAATCGTTCGTACGTTGACAGTTTACTGTCATATAGTTATATCGTTATAAAAATGTTGTCGTGTGAGTCCGATCTCAAGTAGACATTATAACGAATTCAGATTAGTTTCTGAAATATTATCGCATTATTAGATCGATTTGTAGGATGGATATAAGATACATAGTCGTAATCATATAACACTAAGATGACCATACGTCCTGTTTTAAAAGGGGCAGTCCGGGTTTTCGCATCTTTGTCCCGTTATCCCCCGAGGAATCTTTGGGACACTAAAATTAAAATTTTAAATGGTTAGCTCATTAGTTAACTCTGACCTAGTCATATTATATTTATTGTTTTTTAATTATCAATTTAATTATTTACTAAATTAATTTATTATCCTTTTAATTTATTTGTTTAGAAAGTATTTAGAAAAAAAACAGTTTGTCATTCGTTAAAGAAACAGACTCAGATTTAGATGAAGACTCAGAAGATATAGTTCCTTCAGTTTTTAATAGCGTTGTAAATCAAATTCAATCGATACCAAGAGTAGTAAGTACTTTGATAAATCCAGAAAATGACAAAGAAGTGTTGAGATTCGAGAGTAGTATAAATTATAAGTATATGTATTTACATTATTTGAAACAATCGAAGAAAAATAAAAATAAATTGAGCGAAAAACAATATAAGAAAATATATAATCAGTACATGAAAAAAATATTTATGGTGAAATAATCATAGTTACTAAATTACGATTTGAATATTTAACCTTTTGATATAGTCTTGATTTCTTCCCCAGATACTAACTATTATAAATTTAGTACAACAAATATTATGTATACTTTGTTAAAATAAATTCTAATTTATTTTTCATAATTTTTATGAATGTTATTAAAAATAATTCTATGTTTATGTATAGTAATATTGTTAAATTAAGGCCCAGGATCCCCCTTCCCTTGAAAATATGCCACCGGTAATGTAATAAGGTTTTATTGTAATTAATAATGTAATGTGGACAATTTGAAAACTAGGCATCCCTAGTTATACGTATATTTGTATCCATAATTGTATATAGATATATTTATGTTCAATGTATAAATTATTGTGGTATTGAGTTAAAATATAAATTAAATTAAATATATATATGTATGTTCTCTTTTGAAACAGAGTTTAGAAGGAAACTCAAAACGAGAATGTATATTAAATATATGTATATATAATATATTTGGCCGGCTAATAACTGGAATGTGAAAACATATCAAAAATTAAAAAAGTTTATCATCATGATTTTAATATTGAGTGTACACTGCGTCCAGTGAGAGAACGCAACTGGGCGGCGATCAAAACCCGTCAATTTTTGGGCTTTCCCACCACTACCAGCCCGAGCGTCGCGCTTGACGACCACTATCGGTTAACACCGGTTGCCCCGTGGTGGCGGAATTTCACATACGCGAAGTAGTTGGGTTCTCTCACTGGACGGTCTATAAATGTAAAAGTATCATAAAAATAAATATGCTCATTGTTTTAAATAATGATCAATAATTGTAATATTAAAGGTCGTGTTACACTATCATAGTTGAACCCAGTAACGTATTAGGGGTAGGGGGACTAGAGGGCGCGATGGCCTCGGGCGGCATAAGATTTTTACATAGCCTATTTTATGTTGATGAACAATAATATAAATTGGTTAATTTTTTTTTTCATCTCAGATAATATTCTAAGATTGGAAATATTCATAGGATGAGGAAGGAGACAAAAATTGTCGACGAAAAACCTCTCCTTTAAAACGTAAATAAACAAAAATTATTTTAGGTATAATTTGTTATACCACACAACAAAGTGGTTTAACGCTCTGTTGTATATTTTTCGTTGTCCACAGTGATTATAATATAAATTAAAATATCACAAGATTGATATACATTATAAATGCAAGTAATATAACCTTAATTTGTAAAAAAATATCCTTATTATATTTAATTACCTCATTTATAAGTCAACACTAATAAATTTAGTAAATTAATTTCAAGTATAGTCATTTAATATTATCTATTTGAATAGTTATTTAATTGTGTAGAATGGATTACAATTACTATATGTGTTCTTTTCAAGTGATATCAATCGCAGAATCTCTTAGGTATTTACATTTTCTAAGAAAAGAGAGTTTTTGGTTACATCCATTTAATAAAAGACAATGAGCTTTTTGAAAAATGTTATTTGAGCTTAAGACCGTATCCACAGAAGTTCTTTGAATATTACAGGATGTCCATTCAATCATTTGATTAGTTTTTGGACTTATTGTACACTGAAAACGCGTGTTGATACCGCTGTAGTGTGGTGCATGATTGCAAACCATGGGTTTTTATTTTGAGCGGTCAAAAATAGTATGAGCGGCGCTGCTGTCAAACCGAGACATGCAACGGATGAAATACTGAAATACCCAAGTGTGTCGCGTTCCATAAATACACGTGATAGTACTCACAAAAAAAAATCATGTGGTGCAACCGCAATAGTGACACAACCTTAATACATTTTTTATGGTAAAACAAACAAAGCCCTTGAAAAACAATTGCAGAACTCCAAGGGCGCTGCAAAGCATAGTTTGGTAACAAATGTATGTATTATGTATAGTATAACTATGTATGAGTATAACTACTCATATATATATATATATATATTTATAAACTAGTATCTTGATCAGAAGTCTGTAAATTTGACGTGTGATGACAATATGTTTTATTTAGAAAGATTAATGTTATTTTGGTCGTATGAAAAATATTACTTTATGTACAATCTAAATTATACTTAAATATAGAAAACAATGTTTTAAATTATTCTTCAATTTGAAAATAATATAATAGAAAATAAATATTTGAATGATTTACAATTTTTATAGTGCTAGTTGAAATACAAAATACTAAATGACAATAAATGATTCAATAAAAATAAAAGAAAAAAATCACAGCATGCATTTTAATGACTGTATTAATAAATTATACAATAGTAATTTGAATTATTAATAGTAAGGACATCAATATTAAACATAATTAAATACTAATACTCTGTAGCTATAAAAAAAACCATTCAAATTAAATACATATGATAACTTATTGAATAAAAATAGAAGGTTAATCACTTAACACATGTCAAACTTGCTTGATCAATTAATTCAAGAGTAGAAATTGAGTTGCAAAAACTGTCATGAGTTTCATATTCAATATTCTACCTATTTTAAAAAATACAAATAAAAATATTTTAAAATTTTATATATTTATAACTAATTTTATAAAATTTTATTCAAGATTTACATGTTTAGTATCTTCCTCTAGAATAAGATCTTGAACGAGATCTCCTACTTCTATAAATAGGTGACCGACTTCTTGACTGTGAACGATAACGACGTGGTGGCGGTGATCGTCTAAAATTAATTAAATATTATAAGTAAAAATCATTTCAAGTAAAACCTCCAATTAATGAAAATTTCATGAAAAAAAAAAAAAAAAAAAAAAAAAAACCAAATTAAAAATATTTTATTATAAACTGTCTCATTTTTAATCAAATATATATAATACATAAGCATCCATAATATAGAGGTTTTACTTTAAAATTTATTTCATTACAATAAAGGATTAAATATGATCCAACCAATATTATAGATAAAAGAAGTTTTTTTTAACACCTCAATTAAAATATATCCAAAGTTACTATATTTTTAATACATAAAATGTTAACCCGAAAAACGATGAGTGATGAAAAACGTAGATGTTCCAAACACATTGTAGTAGCTAAGATGAATTTCAAATGCTATTTCGTTGTTTTTGGTACTGCAATAAATCATGGGATTTGACAATTAAAAACAAATTTGTATTATAATTCCTATTTGGGATTTAAGAAGTTCACACCCCCCTGTTGTTGGTTGCTGGCTCAAGTTGGTAGTACTGTGTTGAAAGGTGATGGTAGTTGTGGTGATGATGAATGCATTAGAGTTGAATCTATAATAAATAACCTGCCAAAAGTTTTTATACTCATTAATTAAAAAAAAATATATTAATTTATGTATTTATATATAAATATACACAATAAGTGTAGTTTAATGTATCCCTACAACCCTTCAGTTATTAAATTCCTTAGTCTTATAAATATAATGTCCGAAGTAGAAAATAATATAATAGAATAGCAGTAATTTTAAAAATTAAAAAAAAATTAAAATATTTACCTATAATCAGGTGATCTATCTTTAGGGCGACGCTTTCCAGTAGACATTTGAACTATAATTCTAGATCCACAGCATCTCCTAAAATGTAAGCAATTATCTGTAGTCATAAAAGTTTAATAAAAATTATAAATATAACAAAAGAATATAATAATACAATAATAAATATAATACACATACATTAATTAAAGACCTAAAAGAAATGGGAATTGAAGAATTGGACCATTAAGAAAATTGGTGCACGACAGGGACAGGTGGAGAAGTGCTGTTTTGAAGGAAAAAAATCCACGCCATAAGAATAATACATAAAATACACTATTTTCAGAAACATAATAATCACCATGTTTTAGATCTGACAGGGATAACTGAAAAAATTCATCATACATAGTGCATTTACAGTTGTGTTACAAAATTTTGAAGAATGAAGTAAATTTTATAATATAAATAGTATCATAATGAATTTATTTGACAGGGATAACTGATATAAAGCATAATCATGTTTTTATTTTATGTTTTGTTCTTTTTTAGATTATTTCCACAGATATAATCTGTATATATTTCAGACTACATAAAGTATCACCATTTATTTATCTGATAGGGATAACTGATAATAATCATCATCAATAGTTAGTGCATTTAAAATTTAATTTTAAATGATCTAGATACTTCAAAATATGTAAGGTATCTTTATGCATTCATCTGACAGGGATATTTGATATTAATGATTATTAATAGTTAGTGGAATTAAAGTTTAATATCAAATACTTTAATTTAATTCAGAATATGAAAGTATTAATGTGAATTTGTTTATCAGGAATGACTGAAATAGTATATCATATACAGTGCAATTATAATTGTATTATCAACATTTGAAGAATTTAGTAAATTTACTAATACAATATATGTCATCATGAATACATTTGACAAGGATAACCAA